TGACGTCAGGAAGAACAAAGGCGGGTATTGCCTGGAAAGCTTTGTATTCGGCTCGGTAAAATGGCCACGAGTGGATACGATGACTCTGTAAGCTGATTAAGGGCATTGCGAGTCCAGATTTTATTATACACGTCCTTGTCGGTATCACCAAATGTCCACGTGACCAAGACTGGAGGAATTCCTCCAGTTTTCTGGAAATATCCGAAATATTCCGAAGTCGTCCCGTCTATATTTGGCATGCGCATGTTCGGATGGTACCGTTCATGTTCAGTTATTCCCGGCCGGGTAGGTAGACTGGCTGCCAAACGTAAACTCCCGTATCCTAATGGCAGCTGTTGATCCGACAACATTTGACTTTATACCCTGAAATCGAAGGTTGCCTTGCCCGAAATGCAAAGATAACTTCCTTTGACCAATGCAGGTTTGATGCCTGAAATATGCTCTCACTGTGGATACACTTGCAGTATTGCCTACTGGATATGGGAAAAGGGTCACTTGAGATGTTGCTACTGATGAATTCGAAAACACCCGGACTCTCAACTTGTGACCCCTGACCCTTGCTTCATCTGTGGGTGATGCCTGACGTAAGATTTTTTTATCAAGAGTTGTCAGGGTACAGTCCACTAATTCAAGCCCCATTGAAAACAGTGTAAAATCAGCACCGTTCAGGGCCCAATAGCATGCACGCCAACATCCCTGAAATTTCTGAAACACAAATAAAATTCTTGTCTGGTCACTTATCTTTCAATTTCTTTAAAAGATACTGTGGGGGCACTTTTAATGCTAATGAGCTGGTCAAAAATTCTCTATTGAATTAGTGGTCTGCGACCGTCAGGGAAACTTTGGGCAGAGGACCAGCCTATTAAAAATACCCATACTTACCTGGACGACTGAGGGCGCTGTTGCTGTGATGTCACCAAGGGAAGACAAAGTTCATTGCATAGGATTGTCTGTTAAAATTGTGAACCCAGAAGTTACGAACTGAAGACATTTCCGAGAAAGGGACTGGTGTCACGTATTGCACTGCGCGTAAACAACAATGCATTATAAAAGAGAAAATGTAGTCCTGTAAAATCTACAAAAATGTAGGATTGTTTTGTGTCCTGACCAATGTAAAATCTAGGCTTTCTTCCTGGGATGACATCACAGTTTTGCTCATGGATATGGATACTCTTTAGCATAAAAACCCCAAAATGAAGTACAATACTCTTGAAAATAGTGACACAAAAGTTGCAAATAAAATTAACTGAGATACCAGGTGCATTTTGAAGGTTCATATAAAACAAATTGGTTGCAGTTACCCTTTACAGACCCCGATGCAGGCTATAGTGTGTACCATGCAAGATGGACTTACCACTGTAATTTAAGGTCAGAAACTCTTCTCTGTCTGTATGAGTTAGTAGACTCAGTTTAGTTGATAGCGCATTAGAAAGTCAGGAGACACTCATACTCATTAATGTATGTCTCAGTGGATTTAAAGATCATTATTTTGGTTTTTTTTTTTAAAGTGACTTTCCATACCAAATTGACCAAATTTAAAACCTGCCTGCCCTTTATACCAAAATTTATACCAACGATAATTTAAAAGTGTGAGGTGAAGGTAGGAGTAGGTGGTGCGTTAAGAATACCGTCTCGCTGATTTTCTGTATAAAGATTGGTTTGGAAGAGTTGAATGATAAAAATGCTCTCATTTGGCTTTGCACCGTGTTTTCAAATGACTTATAACTTCGAGAGCTATATTATCAACCTGAGCCCTTTGCTGTGAAACTCGACGCCCCTGTCGGGAGTCATGGGCTTGACGGCAATCGATCTCGGCCGATGTTGTCGCTTTAAACACGGTGTGCAGTTAAACGGAACTGCTACCGATATGACACAGACAGGGCTTTATCAGCCTTCCTCGATCCCCATCGGGGAAAGTGGTAAGTGCTATATTTTCCCGCGGTGCATGTTTGAGCGCTCGATCCGGGGGACTTTATTCCATGGTTTTATGGGCCTGGATACACCTGAACGCGTCCAACACGGCCGAAGGTTGTTCCATCGATCTATGTTTGCTAAGAAACATCAGCACATTCACGCACGAAACGCCCGTCATTTGGAATGACTAGGCACTAAAACCCCTGCTAAGACGACCGCATGGTATGTTTCCCTTGCCGAAGTCATATCGACGGTTCGACACGAACGCGATAAGAGTCAGTGCACTTCCTAATTACCAACATGCTTGGTGGTAAACCCGCACACGAGGATATGTAAATGATGCGAAGCATACTTTTCGTGTATGCCCAACTAATTTAGAAAAGCGCCTGATTGATCATGACAGAGATTTGCATTGCTTGTGCTACGGGTCTTTGGATAATAGGAAGTTCAAATAAAGCACAGGGTTGCTAAAACGTGGTCAACGGTTTACCAAATAGGGAAGGACATCAGGTAGATTCATTATTAATTATACGAACTCAAAGTCCCCCTCCAGGTGGATTTCTTGAGGCCATAAATTGGAAAGACTGCATGGGCGCTAGGTTTTGCTGTATAGACAAGACCCCATCTCTTCATTTATAATTATGTTGGGATGAACGTTGTTGTTCCTTTTTATTGTTTGTTTGGTTCTGTATATTTTTTTACAATAACATATTTATGTGGACTCCAGTTTCGGAATGGATGATGTGTTTTCAAAATCATCTTTTAGTTTTGTCTTGCTTTGCAGTGGGTTGGTGCTGGTGGGTTACGCTATAAAGATGGGATATAAAACGCTCGCCTTATCTCCTGTACCATCGGGCCTGCAAAGCCCTTCCTTACACTTTCTGACAGAAAGTTTGGTTATCAGCAGATATCCATTGTCTTGGTTGAAAGGAACAAGACCAGCGTCGAATGTGGCAGTGGCGTATTGTCGCTGTACCGGACCCGAGGGATTTTATCGGGCGAAGCGGAGCTTGATGTGACGGCCAAACCGATCAATTCCACCCCGTAACAATATGCATCAGCAGCCAAATTCCCAGCGGTACGGTGCAGTGCAACCCCCCCCCCTTCGAATGAATTCCGAGACGCTGGTGCTCAGGCGACAATTTGCTCCTTTTTGCCCCACAAGCTTCACGGGTGCAAATTAGTTTTCCTTCTCAGGTGGTGAATGCCATCGCCGAGCAAATTGTATCATTGTGCCAGGGCCGGCGATATTTCCTCTCGTTAAAGGAGAAGAATCTTGGGGCCAACGGCGGGACTGGTGGTTGGCAGTCCAACCATGATGAAGAGATCACATTTCTGTGAACGTCTGTGCAGTTCCACCTTTATCGCACGAATCGCGGGCAATTGCAGTAGGAGACTGTTTTTAATTTATGATTTTTTTTTAATGCTGGCAGCAAAACGTAATGGGCTTTTAATGTTGTTAACGAAGGCACGTGAGTTCCTTGACTGGGAAGAGTTCCTTCTTCGGAGTGGGGCTCGTAAAATTACTCCTGATGCATGGAAGCATTATTTTAGGCCTATGCACCAGTGCTCAGTTTTTGTGTGTATGTGGGAAATGGAATTTTCATCGGTACCATAAAATCACTGCTCTCTCTCAAATGAATCTGACCACGCATCACTTAGAAGTCCCTATGTACCATGCGTATTGGAACTCAATTGCGTGTACAATTTGTCTCGTCTGTTCCCCTGGTCAGGTGGCTTGTTTGATCTCGGAAGTTCCCCCTTTTAGCCGTATCCCCGCCAAAGTCACCTGGGAATCCAATTAATCGATGCAGCACGGGGAGTTTGATTGAGCCAGAAAGGTTTCAGTTCTGAAGCCCGCCGATTTTGATCCGAGCGGATGCTTTGATATCACCAGACTTGGTGTTCGAACCGAGTTCAACTATACGTAGGTAGACGTGACGGAGCGGATGGGAGTAAGCGTTATGACACGGGACATGGGGGCCACAGGAGCGCGTCTATACTGTCATTACTCGAGAGGCACTTGTATGTCGATCTTTGATTACTCTTTTTTTATGATTTACGATTCAAGTCAACACCGTGTCAACAGAATTCTTCCACATACATTCTTCCACACATATCGTCCACACATATCTTCCACCATACCCAGCCAGATTAATGACTCGTGTACACACCGCAAATTAACGGAATGCATTAATACTCGACAAATTACCAACTGGGTCAAAAGGTCGTGCAGAAATTAAATTTATAACGTGAAGTCGAAGTGTCAAAAGCAACGGATATTCACACACCCATTAATTGGCCCTTATTTCTTGTAACTTACTCGATGAGCGAATCTGAATACATACAATGCTTTTTCTCAACTTTTTCACGAAAGCATCAACTTTCCGTAGCATCGTTCAACTAAACAACTATGTATTTCATTACATCATGAGATGTTTCCCCAATTAACCAGCTTGTTGGGTCATTTACGTGAAAAGCTTAAAGGCATGTTAGTGTCAAATTTTATACAGTCGCACTTAGCCAATTAAGCGCGGGTGAAGTAATCGAACGACATGCATGGTTCATAAGAGGTAAATCGTAAGTCTCTTTGCTTAAACAACTGAAAGTATAGCGATGCTCCATAATGGATCAGTAGAATCACCGTTTGTATTAATTCATAAGGAAGTAAATAGTGCGCTGACGCCATTTCTTTAACTTCAGTTGTATTTCTTTTCGGTAACGCTTAATTTTGTGGAAGTTGTGGGTCAGTAATTATATATCAATCAGTATTTTACATCAGTAATATATGAAGCTACTGATTGGGGTTTTGCGTGTGGTTCAGTTAATCTTGAAAGGCTTGCAAAATGGGTTCTAGGGTTTTTGAGCAGGGTTTATGGTGCAGTGTCGCTTGAAAGACGAAGTTGTCATCTTATAGAGTACATGCGTTGGTTGGTTCGCTAACAGTGGTGGTATTAGACATCGTGAGGATTTCGATCGCCAAGATCAATTCGGTCATGCACATCGGTATAACTCAGTTCAACGAAGTAGAATGAGAATGATTCAACATAATCATAATTTTTGGTTTTTGTCCGTTTCTACAAAAGGTGACTTTTTCCTGCTGGTGTATAGCATAGACAGCATGGAGTCCTTCCAAGAAGTGCGCCGCCTACGACAACAGATCATCGACACCAAGAGAAGCCGGAAAGGAACCAAGGCAGTCCCCATGGTGATCGCTGGTAACAAGACGGACAGGAACGAGCACAGAGAGGTCACGCTGGAGGAGGCCAAGAGGGCATTCTCTTCCGGCAGACGAGTCACGTGCCACGAGCTGTCGGCCCTGGACGACAGCAACATTGACGGCGTGTTCCGAGCCCTCTTCGAAAATGCCCGGCTGCCGAGCGAGATGGCGCCCTCTATGCACAAAAAGGTGGCAGCTGCCACCTCCACTAATCTGAACAGCGGGACGAGCCCCAGAGGGCTATCGCTGCGCAGGCGCATCAGCGACGCGTGCGGTGTCATCTCGCCCAACGCGCGGCGACCGAGTCTGCGCAGTGACCTGATGCAGGTCAGGACCAATGTGTTGCGAGAGGAGCACCACCACAATGACGACGAGTACGAGGATGAGACGGAAGGAGACGAAACTGCGTCTGGAGGGAGTACAAAGAAGCGCGCATGTCTTATCCAGTGACGGCATCGCATCATGCATCAGCTTAAGGCATGCCTACTCCCATGAAAATTTATTGTGCTAGCCACTTTTCACAGCCTTATTTGTTTATACACAATTCATGACTAAATTGTATGCAAACTCGCTATTTCTCGGCACTTCTTACTCTGTGGGTGTATGCCTGAGCAATAGTGTGTCCCAGTGGTTGGTTGCACTGAATGTGCGTAGGGATGCGCGTATGAAGTAGACGCAATGTTTGTGCGAGTAGTCAAGAAACCAACTCCACTCTTTCAACCTGTATGTGTCTGCCCCTGATGAAAGGATTGGCTTAACGTCAGTGACTGAGTAAGCATGTTTCGACGTTTGCATTAATTAAATCACAGTGACATGATTGACTTGCTTTTTGTAAAAGAGACTAGGCTTATTAATTGATGTATTTTCGTTAAAAGAAAGACCAGCATTTTTCAGAAAAATAAAGGTTCTTTTTTTATTACTAACACCATAGCGGGCTGCGTATTAAAGACATTGGCGCGCTTCACAAGGATGAAACTGATCTCAAGAGCAATGAGACTGCGGTTCAGTCTGCGCATTGGCGAATATGCCCTTAAAATTAAGGGAGTTGAAAGGAGTCGTGTCCGCAAGCAACGACTCGCGGCCGAACAGCAAGTCACTATTGCCATAAATGGTCTAAGCAGAAGTATAATTGCGCATGTTTTGAATAATACATTTGCATATGCATAGCTGCACTCGCTTTATCAATATGGAATCATGCCATTTTAACTTCTCTATAAATACACAACCTAACTGTTGCGATTTGCAGAAGGCATTCGGTGGACCAACACGTTCGCTACCACATCACTGCGGTCGTGTTGAATGATTGTGCTCTTTAAAAGCCCCACCAAGTGATCTCTGCGCTCATAATTGTGTCAAAACGCTATCTCTCAAACGGAAGAGGTATTGATCTTAAGTGGCAATCGTTGCAATCTTGCATCTGGCGGAACCTCACACATTCGCCCCCGGTCCCGCGCAACTCCCCCTTGGTAAAGTGCCGTGACGACACTCGTCTGCGACTGTATTTTACTCTTGATCGATGCAGACATTCAACGATACGGGAAATGGCACTCTAGCCGGCAAGAGAGCAAATAATTCATGTTGCTGAACATGAAAGAGCCAACGAGTGTCTACCTGGGTAGCAAACTGAGGTCGTGTACATGACATTGGCACTGTCCTATTCACCACTTGATGTAAAATCACCGCCCGATGCACAGCTAATATATACAGATGAAAAAACATTATCGGCAGCCCAGCTGTGCCTGATGGCTATTCTTCGAAGTGGTGACTGACCCTCTACCCTCTTTACTTGAATTCAATCAAACTTGGCCTGCAACTTAAAGCGATGAGTCACGGACGGTACAGGATAAACTTCGCGTTAAGGACTGCAAACCGTGATCCCCTTTTAATCTAGGTTCGGCAGGTAGCAGCCGTCGGATTTAGGTGCATTCTGGTTCGCCAGCAATTAAGAACATCAGATGCGTTAAGCCGCGGGAGACTGTCCGGATGAAAGCCTACCTCAACCCGGGGTCCCTGCTCAAAGTTATGCAGACGGTACACGGCGCGCTCCTAAAGCAGCATGCCGGAGTGACAGTCTGAGCGTCACATACCTGCTCGCGGCGTCGTAAAGCACGAGGACCGATACTAGTAGAAGACACACGAGGCTTTGATTTCTTCGGGTTATCGGATATTGTTGAAACAAAATAAGTACATGGGGGAGACTGAGCGACGGTTTATTTAAGGCGAACTGAATGCCTGGAAATGACAGGTGAAAATAAAGTCGCAGGAGTCGCGTTCGTACCAATTATGGTGTTAAAATGTTTCAGTGAGGGTGTTACGGGCTGACTTGTACGTGCTATACTGCTTATTGTGCAACGTATAAAAATGTGGTGTCAGAAGTGGGATCCTGTTCAGAGCAGTATATGACTGGTTATGAATAAATGGCTCAGAATGCGATTGACAAGCAAATCTTATTCACGCTTCTAACTTCAATGAAACCACAAGGTGTATAGACTGGAAAAGGCGCGAATTTAACACTAGTTGTGGAACAAAATAAGTGTGAATTCTGCTTAGCCTTTCATCAACAGCAGTTTCGTGACATTAGGGTGCAGGTTTTACTTTGTTAACCATTTGTTTTGTGTAAAATGACAGGTATTACAGAAAGCGCTACTGTAACATCCTCGCGGCACTATACTTATCCTATACTTTTCCAAAATTTCTTATTCACAGTGGGAAAAGTAGAGATGTAATGGGAAAAGTTATTTGAAAGCTCTTGACTTCGCGACATGAAATATACCTACCTGTACTAGCCGTCCAGGTTTAGCAGAGTAAAACACGAACGTCTGGTTGTTTCGGCAATAATTATCCACTGAGAAATGCTGACTGAGCGGTTGCCAAAGAATTACTTCTATTTCATGTATGTACGAAATACCAATCATAATTTTAACGAATCTTGTCGGAGAGCACTACCTGATTATGCGTGCAGTACAACCCCCCCAAAAAAAAAACTCGACAAAAGCTTGCAATCCATAAAAATGCTTTCCGGCATCGCGATAGGCTTTATTGCGAGAATACTTCCAACTTTTGCATTGTTTTTCACCACTTGCCTTTGCTTTATTTTATCAATAAAACGTCAATGTTGCTTAACAAAAATCACCTGTTATTGTGTGTCTTGTATTTCTGGATTAAAACGTAGTATTTGGCTCTTTGGCTCCAGCGGGCATTTCCTACTTACATGACACGGCCCTTCATTAGTCTCATAAACAGGTTTAAACAATGCCACCCTCGGTCCAATGCGAGGAGGCTAAATTCTTCGTCGAAGGACGCAACTCAGTGCGGACACAGTCGTTAGGTGGATAAACGAGAAGACCCGAATCCAGTACAAATTTAATCTAACCCGGCTGTCATTGGTCTAATCAAATTGTCTGTAGGAACTAGATCATAAGGGAAAAAGTCTAACCGAAGGAGACGCAGTAGGGATGCGAATCCCAGGGGAAATTAATGCCAACTATATGGTAAACCAGACGAAACATTCGTCCTTAAGTCAACCTGCAAAAGAAATGTCTTACAACCATCCAACCTGATCTGGGCTTCCCACTCAAGAGAATTGACTGTATGAAACATTGTGATCATCGAAATAGTATTACGACCTCCCTCTAACAACACCCCTAAATATGTATCACAACGAATCTTGTGCTTTGTTTAAAGACCCAATAAGCTTGCAAAAAGAAACGAAAAAGCTTGCAAATTAATTCTTATTGGCGAGGTGAACCTTTGGGACAATTTAAGTCACGATTTATCATCGAAATCTGATCGTATTACCGCCTGTTATCAGAGGGCGTCATTCACCTCGTAAGATCAGTTGTTAGCCTCGATGCCCGGTAGAACATGGAGTTGATAGGAAAAAATACGCTTACAGGCGTCTTCCCATTAATACGTTTTCTTTGGCCGCGTCGCGTACTCGATGCGTTCCTGCGTTTCAATTTCACGGACACAAAATCGACCCCATTCACATAACACACGTGTGCGCTGCGTCAAAAAGCGATTTTGACGGATACGCAACTCTTGACGCAAGTATTGACACGCTTATGGAAAGGCGCCTTTATTCTGTTTCACGTGCGAAAAAGGGTGTGGCGTTAATCAGGGAAGGGATAAGAGTTACCTGCAATGGCACCCTACTTAAACCACAGTAAATTTTAAAAAATGAAATAAAAAAAAGCGGAGTGTCATCTTTCACTAATTAATCACATCCAAAGCATGGCCATCAACTTGCATTAAAGAAGTGTCGTCATACCAGAAACCCTTATGTGCAAAGATATTGCATGAAACCCCATGATGACAAATTTTGGCTGTTGATACAGCCCTGTAATGGCTCCATCCATGACGGGCAGAAACTCCATCACACACCCGCTGCACAAACACAGATCTTGTTTGGAGAAAAGTGCTCTGTTTGCACTCGGTTTAACACGGCAGATGGAGTAGTTTCTTCCCTCCTTAAGTTTTGTCTGTCAAACAGGTTTTTGAATCTACAAGATCTAACCAAAGAAGGAACAAATGGCTCAGACAAACATCAACCCAAGAGCTCGATCAAACTTCTGTTTACGTAGATTGCAAAATCGTATTTTCTACACAGATGAACTGCACAGCTTACAAACTGACTTGAGTCATCAATTTGACGATCCATAATGTTTAGTGACTCGAATTGCCAATTCGGCTTTGATACCTGAATGAATGGACTCATGTCACAAAACCCAAACCCTCCTTCCCAAAATGGTGAGTAAACGGGGTTGTAGATGAGCGCAATGTTTAAGCTTTTGATATAACGTTGATGACCTTCGTACTCGACAATAATTCTGGGGCAGGAGAATTAAATTTCATTCTGACTGGTAAAAATTGCATATAATGAGTAAGGGCTGTTGATCATGGATACATAATCTCATCAAGAGCGGCCACTCGCCTATAGTTATTCCGTGAGGAATCCACTAATCAGACTGGGTTCCTTACAGAATCCCGGATCAGACGCTTGACGATTATCGATCGTGACATCGATTCAGATTTCAGGATTGCTATCGTTCGCTGAGCAACACTGTGCTTTTGGAGTGAGGAATCGGGAAGGGGGTTTGTCCCCACATCCTCCTACGCACTCTAGTGTCCATGAATTCGTCTGTGCATTGGACACATTAATCATGTACTTGATTTCCCTTGGTGATTTGAGAGTAGACCTCAGTCCCAACCAGATTGGAAAGCAACGTCTGCATTTGAAAGTGTAGATTAATCAGTGCATCCTGCACAAAATAAGGCTTTGGGGAAAATAATTCATCTTGATGTTGTAGCTTGAGAAAATCAGAACACAACAGGTACAAGTTAAAACGCACGTAGCATTTTGTGAACGAAATGATATAAATTTCAGTTTACGAATACTTCCTAGAATAACTTTAAAATACACTTAAAAAAAAGGGGGGGGTGGTAGCTTCCTCAGAAACTTTTAAGAGCCTTGTATTTTTTGTCTCATTCATAAAGATCACCACAGTTACTGACAGCATTCTCCGTGTTTCAAGGAAAGAGAGAAATGATGGTTAGAAAAAACACAGAAAAACACAGAAATGATGAATCGAACGTTTCAAGAATGGATGTTTGCTAGTAGAGGAAAGGGGCGAGGCACCTGTGGAAAGAGGCAGAACAATATATCTAAGGGGTCCCAGAATCATGGTCATTAACCCTGGCAAAGGGAGAGGGGTATATCAATTTCAAACAAATTTCCACAAAAAGTTTGTCCAAAGGTTTGGAGAACACTCTAGTGATACACTAGTGACGGCTGGCAGGATCGCTGCAGGCGAATGCAATCATCGACCGTGGACGGATTGGGAGGGAGGATGAAATAAGATCGGGGAAATATTTTGTTCGCATTTTGCGCCGGGAGATGTTTTAGGAGCGCACTGACTTAATGTATGGAAATATTTTGGCGGCTTCTCAGAAACAATGTTTGGAATACTGATTCAAGCTAGCAACCAAACAATTCGGACACGGCATAAGAAAGGGCAAAACTACGTTGATGCAAATAAACCAATCACAAGGTTCCTTGCATCATTGTGCCATTTGAAAGGAACCCTATGATTGACTCATTTGCAAATTACACAATTTTGAAAATGGTTTAACATGTACAGACCGCCAATGCAGTCTGGACAGAGAAGAAAAACGCAGGGAAGTGAATTGTCTTGTTCACAGACTTGTAGTTCGTGTAACATTTTAAAACACCATGGTTACAATATATTATATTTACTTTTTTATTAATTGGATTTCATTTCTTTCGTGGACACTTTGTCAGTATATACAGCTAAGTTACTTTAAAATGAAATCTGACATGGACCATTTACAATATTTTTGAGTACATATATTCATTCTTCTTGACAAATAAGGAACTACACAAATCTCAGGATCTAAAATACGGAGATAAAGTATGGTTTCAACCAACTGCATACCACTTCAAGAAAATGTAACTCACTAGTCACCAGTCCAAAACCAGGCTGAAGGCTTGTGAGCTAGAATCTAGAAACTTTTATCAACATACTTATGAATAGTGCAAATTACACACGTTTCACTGTTGTTATGTAAGACACAATATTTTTGTCAAAATGTACTGATTTATTTTAACGCATGTAATTCTGGCACGTTTAACCCAAGTGATCGTGGCAGAAGTTGCATTATGGGCAGGATGCACTTGATCACACGCCGTCACATGATCACATTACACCCTTACACCATCCTAAGTTGGCCCAAGCACACTTTAGATTAGTGAGTAACCTTGAGCACTGAAGGTAATCATATTCGAATAAATAACTACATCAACTAAAACTATGAATTGAATGTAAACAGAACTTGCCCAAAACCATTCATACAGATTAGTTCCACCTTCAAATTAATGAACAATTGTTTCATACCAAATTCATATTCCAAAAAAAAGGGAACAATGAGTAAAACAATCAAATTTAAGGTATCACTTATCATAAATTATGTCAATGGAGTGAAATTCAGTTAATATACATTAACAACTACTTAAATGTTGAAAATCGTGATTAATTTGGATATATGACAGTCATGTATCTTTATGCATACACAGTATAAAGTTCAATCACTGTAATGTGCATGCACCAAAATTTCTGGATGAGGTACCCCATCTTACATTCACCACAAGACATGACTGATTTCACTGTATAAAGGTACAACTAAACTTGACAGATTTGTTTAAATGAAGCCTAAATAAAAAATTCTTTCCAAACAACACTTAATACAATGCATCAGATCACTTGTCAAAGTGTTCACAGGATTTACCATCCTGTTTGAACACTCCTTCGCTTCCCAATGTTAGATAAACCAATTCCTTATAATTCTATACTGGCATAATAAACACCCTGCTCTCCACATGGCCAATTCCTTCCGAAAAGCCAAGTTTGAAATTTTACTCTTTAATATAATATTATCATGAAAATGTAATAAGGATAACTGTAAATGCACAGGGTAAAGAGCAACTGTCTTGCTTAATCAAATTGTCATCATGTAAAAATCTCTGAGGACAAGACGAAAAAGCTACAATCCTTGCCTAATCTCACTGGGCCCCCTTCCCTGGGGCCCTCTTTCAATGTTGGGTCTCATTGCGTGGTCCGCGCTCCAGCTCGACAACAATGACCGTGGGAAGTAGGGGACCTGGGGAGGGTATGGCTGCTGACACCTGTCCCAACCATTTTGGCCAGCATTGTAGATATCACCAAAAGTCTCTCAACGTTGACTGGAAAAACGATCCTCTCAAGATAATGGATTTTAGCTTTTTTCCAAGTGAAGCCATGGAAAACAAATGCTTAAGGGATCACTTTAATTGGAGAGGCTAGTTTTGTCATATAATAACAAAATAAAGTAGTCAATCTTTTTATCTAATAATACCTCACTCACAGATTCTGCACAGTTTTCGAGATTCCTATTATTAATCAGACCACACGTATGTGCATTCGAATCTCTGATTTAATACGATATGAGTTCAAAGTTTCTTGTAGATTTCTCTGATGAAACTGACGATGCAGAATTGAGGCAGGTTGAATCTAACAAACAGCTCATTAATTGGAGCGTGAATGTAGCACTGGCTTCCAACACGGGACTTTTTTTTGAGATTTCAGGCTTGTTCCTAGCAAGAACGCCTGGAAGAGGGGAGGTTAGGATCAATGATCTTGCCAATTGAAGACGGGAGACTGTAAACTCAATCATTCCTTCCGCAAGAAGGCAGCATGACACCATAATGGTGACCTATCGGATTAACAATTGTGGTTGAAAGTTCATACAATTCCACTGAAATTGCTGAACAACACGTTTTAAGACTTCATCTATTCCTGGTAACCATTCCTTGTTTACTTGTAATCAATCAGAATGTTTACTTCAACCATACTTTACAGGTTCATGTAAATACAGCAGGTGTATTGGCTGATCAGCTACGGAAACAAAGTAGAAGACAAGAATAGAAACAGGGCTAAAATTGTGATCGTACAGTTTCCGTCAAAGTGTATGAAAACTTCCGATCTCAACTATATCTACTCCGCTTGGGCAGAGAGGATCAAGAGTTTTTCAAAATCCGGGTTTGGCCTCCAGGTTTGGCTAACTCTAAACCTCCACGATCAGTTTCAAATGTTTACTTAGCGTGAAGCAAACTAGGTGCTTATAAATAATGAGAAAGATGAATAGAGAAATTGACAAAAGCAGGATTTGAACCTGCGACCTCCGGAATACCATACTGGTGCTCTACCAACTGGGGTGTGATCCCTGGCTATATGGTGTTTCAGGTTCCATGGCTTCTGACTAGCACCCCCGAACAAAGATAGTTGACAAAACCGAAGACCCACCAACGTAGGGATGGATAGCTCAGCTGGTGGCGCACTGGTATGGTATTCCGCAAGTCACAGGTTTAAATCCTGCCCCAGTCAATTTCTTTGTTCATCTTCATGATGTTTACTGAAATAAATTCCAAAGAAAATGTTTTGATATTTGGCCTTGAAGACAATGAGATGTCTCTGCAGCTGAAAATGGAGCTATGCTGCACCAAGGAGTCTCAACTCAAAATCAGTTTGTGGAACTGAAGTCAAAGATGGAGGCAAAGCTGAGTGTTGGACTAACTCACCAGGCTTACATCTTTTGCCAGACTCAATCAGTCTTGGGTTTCTCAGAGTATTCCGGAGGGGGAGCAGTCTATGGAAAAAAGGATAAGAGAAATATCAATGACAATCTCTATCTGCTCTGGTTAGAGGCACCCCCTCAGTGGCAAGGTAGAGACAGGCTGCTGTAAAATGTCAAGTTGACTCATGGCACTTGGGGCATGGACCGTACATTCTGACAGAAGCTGGTCACACTTGGTGACCCTTGGTGACCCTTGGTCACCCTGTACCTGTTTGCCCACAACAAGGACGCTTTTCTAAGGCAAAGAAACCCCATCTCTTGTTCCTAAAGGGAGTGGGTTTATTTTCTCTCCAGTTTTCCTAGGTGCCTTGGCGATGTCATTCAGTACGTACTGCTCAGCACCATTCTGTTTGAAGAGAATAAAACTGGCAACAGACACTGACCTAGGCATTCTGTTGATTAATTTGCTTGCTAGTCAAACAAGTAGTCAGCCAACTGACCAATTATTCTCTAGGGAAGCAATGCAGCATGCAGGGAGTGTTTCAAAAGTCAGAATGCTGAAGAACATTCCAACAACAACATTGCTTTGTTCCTGTCGGGGACACCCACTGTTCCATCTAGGACAACTTGTGCTTCTGGAACAGTTGTGTGTGTGTGCCTGCATGCCAACTTGGCTACAGTGTGTTCCAGATGGGAACGAAGCAAGTTGCCACTGGGAATACAAAATGTTCTTAGAGGAAGGATCACTCTGATTGTTGAGACATTCCCTGAACCGACTGGCCAGTAACAAGGCAGCACAACGACCAGCACAACAAGCCAAGCACAACGACCAACTAACCAGCCTGGCACTACAGGGTTTCAACTTGTTACAATACAACTAATATGGTACTCACTGGAATAGTGGTCGGCGCAGTCTGCGTCATGTACACATTGTGTGGGTCATTTGGATTGTAGTAGGCTGGACCTGGAGTATATGAAAGTATAAAATTCAAAAACAAAAACCTTAGTTCTCCCTATTTCAAACTACATTTTAAGTTACAGAGACCACAGATATAATCTTAAATACAACATATCCATTTATTTATTCTTCTATTTATCCAGGGTAACCTAAACAGCCAAGGACGGTTTTCATTAGGGCCCTAACTAATTAATCTGAATTAAAAGAACTAAAAAAAATTCTTCCTGTAAAAAAAACTGGTGTAATCATCTTCCTGTAAAACTTGTAACAAACATCCTGTAAATTTGTGCACAAGTCACAACACCTTACTGGCTAAATAAACATGCAACACCCAATCCACCTGCTGGGTAACGTGTTACCACCGCAGTAACAGCTTCTCAATTTATTTGCTGGCTTAATCTATAAAGTAAGTGCGACGTCATTTTGAACCAGGAAGTGTAGTGCACAGGAATGGAGTATGTGTGTAAGCTCTGTTGGTTATAGGTAATTGCCGATACTGATATATCGGCAGCTCGATATTGATAATACCGATATATTGAATTTTTTTAGAAGAATGTATGTTTTCAAGTTCAAAACCAATGGCATAATGCATGCAAAATACCAAACACCTTTGGCGGTAAGGCGACTTAGGCCCCTACCAATTGCTCCTAACTGTGCAGCACACGATAAGTCTGCTGGAATTTGTGAGCTTTTTTAATCTTTCCCAAACAAAGCAGCATCCGACAACACCAACAACCTGCAGTCAAAATGGTATATTCCAAGGCGTAGGTACGCATACTCCGGCCAGTCAGCGATCTGAGCGGTTGGCTTCATTGCTTCCTGGGACAGTGAGTTCCTCCTTAAACCAATCAACACTGATGAAATTGCAACGCCACAACATGAATACCCAAACTATTGTGTATAGTATGTATGTATCCAAAGCTCAGGTGCAGGAATCTGATGCATCATTCATACAAGTTTCGGCAACGGCTATTTCTCAACCACTCGATGATTTTGCATATTGTCATACAGTAAACTCCGACTAAGTCAGCATCGCGTAACTTATCATATCGTTTAAGTAGGCCTTTTGACAAAAGTCTCGATCGTGCATTTCCATTGAAAATTTCATTTCTAAGTCGGCATTTATAAGTTGTCATTTTGCATAAGTCAGCATGTTTTATTTGGTCCCTTTTCCACAAAAATTCCTTTGTGTAAGTCGGCACAAAAAAGACAATCATGCTTTGGTATCAGTTTCCTTCCCAACGGTTGCCAAGAAGTGTCAAATGACAAGTCCCACACTGCTTGGCCGATGTCTGTTTATTAGCAGCACAGGCCGTGATTGATAATCGGCCAGCATGAGCACATCAATACCAGTAACCCCTCTAGTGCTACATGCATGCGCTCTGTCCATTTTGGGGGTCGCCTTATTGAACAAACTTAACCAATGCGTAATTGAATTATTGAATTGAATTATTGACTTTGCAGCCTGTGAGGATAAGAGAACGAATTGCAGGGATCGACCATGGAGGTAGCAATAAACCAGGGTAAATCAAAGCCATTGAATTAGTGCACATAGGCAATACGTGCGTACATGTACGTGTAAGTTGGCAAAATGACGACTTACAGCAGTCGTCATAATTTCTTGAGTCCCGAGAGTGCCAACTTAACTGGAGTTTACTGTCTATGCAAAAAGTACACACACAAGTACCTGGCAAAATTCACTAATGTTGAAGTTACAGCTGCATGTAAAACAGTCTTTGAGCTTCATGGCTTCCGGCTGACAAAACTCTGCAATAACCAATGAGGTGTGGTGCCCAGACAAAAGGGTACTTTACAGTTTATTTGTGCACGCATTTTCCCTTGTATGGAAAGGTGCCCTGCTAAATGTACAGCGTGCTTTAATACATGTGTTTTTACATGTACAGGTACATTTAGCCTAACAATGCAAAAAACAATTTACACTGCATAGCTGTTTACTTTTTACCAATTTTTACAAGGTTTTGGAAGATCAAAAGAACAAATCAAAGGTAAATTTGCTGACTTTTACTTCAAGACAAGATGCTGGCAACAACAATTATTACTGTAGCTTCATTTTCTTCATTACATCGGCGCGTACGATATATCAGTTTCAACATTAAAGAGATATTGTTCATATCGATATCAAAGGGACGGACCTTACATGCGCGCTTGTTGGCTCACACGCTGGTTCTCGCGCTGATGCCTTTCACACACATAACTGTGTGCTTGACTTATTCACTTTGGTACTCTATACCATGACCATCCATTGGACTCACCAGGAGGGGGCGGAGCTGAGGAGCCAGCACCTGTGTACACGCTGGAGTAAGGAGGTGGTGGCTCTGATGGTTGGGCTGGCAACAAAACAGATGGACAAGAAATTGTTGGAAATTTAAAATAAATTGTTTAAAATCTGAGACTATTTTGCAATTAACCAGATAGAGGGTCCTATGATTTCTGTTATTAGAAACATGGACATAGTTACATTCCTGCTAAGGGCAAGGATTTGGCGAAACTGTGAAAGATACAACACTAACAGTGTACTGAAAGGGTAAATTGTAAAACAGCTAACATCTGTGTCAACAGATGTAATGAAAAAATGAAAAAGAAAGAGCTTAATCTGCATCTAGCTTACCTAGAACAGTGGCTCAGTATTCCACTGCGCCGTTCTGTCCTCTCTTGGTAGACACCAAAACGGTCAGTGTGATTGTTTATGGGAATCAAGCCACCAACCCAAAATGAGCTAAATGACCACAGATCATACCCAAAAGTTGGAAATTAAACTGTCAGTTCTGTGATGACAGATGGGCCTACTGCCTGAAACATTCAAGCCATCATTTTTTAAAGAACCTTTCCAACTCACAAAAACAGACATTTCCTACATGGTACTGCTGCAAGTTAATCCACGTTGCTTCATCCACCACGCCAACCTTTCAAATCTCACAACCTATGTTACAAAAATGGGATTGAGTTTTCAGGTTGATGTTCTTTACCTCCCGGTGGGTACTCTGGATACACAGTCTGAGCAGGGTAGGCACAGCCACCCACCATGGGTGGTGGGTACTGGGCTCCTGGAATGGGTGCTGGGTAGCCGGCTGTGTACTGGGCACAAGGCTGGGGTGTGGGTTGCTGGTCAGGTCTGGGTGGACGACCCCTTGGAGCTGTGCCAGGGAAGAATTGGATCTTAAGTTAAAACCAAAAACTGGGATTGCAGGCTCTTTGCTGAGTAGGTTTTTTTTGGGGGGGCGCAAACTTGGCAAAATCAGCACACCAAACTCAATTCGTATTCAAAGACGAAATCACTCATGAAAAACATGTCATAGTTAAGAGGGCATTGGAGTAAAGTTCTACTGAATCCAAACCTGTTTGCCCAATATCCCACCCTTTGCAACATGCCTCTCCGAGCATTCCTCATTGGTCAGCTGTGGTCAAATTAGGCATGTCTTGCCAAATTCACTGAATCTTCACGAAACCAAGAGACAAGTTTGAGCAATGACCATTTGCCAGTCACTGATCGATTCTGCCTGGTACCCAGGATGCATGTTGTGCACCAGTTACCAGGGGAAAATCAGCCAGTGGTCATCAAGTCATCATCACTCAAATTTGCCCAAGGTTGCTGCGTGACTGTCCGTCTGCTAAAATATACATTTTCCCTTCTAAAGGACAGAATCTCAATAGTAACACTTTTCTCTGGGACGTCCAATACCTTGGGTTGCTACTCTGAGCAGACGTTGTCCCAACTCTATAGCGCCCCCTGACTTGAACACAATCTTGAACTCTGCCTGAGTGTGTGTCTCCCATCCACCTGCAGATAAATAAATTACTACAACTTCAAAATCTGCCACACGAGGTTTGCAAGACTGAGGAAGGTAAAACCTAACCGCTGTCACTTCATAAGGGGCTTGATACACCTTGACAGAATGTATATTTGTAGCTGTGCTTATCAGCTGAGCTGTGCATTACTCAATCAGCCAATGTATTTGTTCATGAGATACTGGTAAAAGGCCGTCAAATTCACATACCACATGTGGCAAAGGATTCTATCCCCTGTCATAATGCCAATGGCAATCGCACTAATTTCTTGATTTTCTACAGGTCTGATTCCTGCGGATCAGGATTGCGATCACTGATCCATTGTTGGTTCACTGACATCAGAATGTGTAATGGGTAGAGCCAACCAGCTTTGGGATCACTGATCCAGATTCCGATCCTTGAGAAGAAAAACAGGCCTTATGTTAACCACCAATACAAATCTGTCACTGTACAGGCTTGCCACAGTGAGTGTTGAATACAGCGCTGGGGCCACTGATTTCGTGTCCTCCTGTTCCCTGTTGGATTTTGGGAGAAATGCCTGGGTAAAAACCTACATGGCATAGGGGGAAGGAGAGGTAGGGCCCGGGAGAGGGGGAAGGGTTGGAACTAAGATGACTAACTCACCTCCTTCCTGGGACTTGATGAGTCCTGTTATGGCATTAGCTCCAAACAAAGGCTGTTTGATGTCCACATGCTTCATGTAGTAGAAAGGCATGGAGAAGGACTTCATGGCATTGTCGTCTTTGACATTAATAAAAATCACCTGAAGAGGAAAAAAGTGTGGAAATTAACCCTCCTTTAGTTTTACAGCACAAATATGCACAAGTGCCCAAGGTCACTCTCTTGCACGTTGGTGCAGTGCACAACATGACACAGCTGTGCTTCTTTGAGGTGTTTACCAAGTGACCCAAAGAGTGACTTCAGCGTAGGAGGATTAAATGATATTCCATATCATCACGAGTCCGAGATCAATAATTTAAACACCCGTATAAATCTATACGGTGAAAGTCATGCTTAGGTCATTCGTCTAAAACTCAACTTTCTTTCCGAGTTTGAGCCTATATCCTGACCCAGCTGGAAGCTTCAGGTGTTCAAAACAAACGGCTAATTTAAATTTTGGCTTAAGATTGTAAAACTGATAATTACATGTAGGATACAAACTGAGCCAAACGTCCCAAAGGCAGGAACCTTAACAGTAAATATGGTATGCAACCAAGATTTGAGAGAAGACATTCAAGCCTAACCTCCAGAGAAAATCTGTAGCAAGAAAGCATTGTATCTGAAACTTTAGAACAGATGTTATTTTTCACACTTTTTTTATGTCTCTCTCATGTGTCTCACAGAGGCTACCATACAAAATATGGGTAAACCCACCAAAAGAGAAAAATTCAAACCCAAGTCAACTTTCCCAAACCTAACACTTACCCTCTGATTGGTGAGAAAGACAGTTCCTTCTTTTGTCCCTTTGAAAGCGTCATGTTTTGGGGTGATTTCAAAGCTTAGTTCCACTTTTTCCTGTTCTTGCAAAATCCTGTGAAATAACGTGAAAAAGAACAGCACGCTTTTACAGCTTTCAATTCATTGTGAACTATGAAAGTCTGTAACAGCACAACCTCATTCCCGTCGTAACATGACTACATTGCTGATCACCTTTATACTTCAGTATTTACATACATTACTATAAGTTAGAAAAAGCATCCCTCTCAATGTCATACATAAGAAATACATGATACGCATTTTAAAAGAAACTGAAGGCCAAAACAGAGTGAGACTCCATGTCCTCAGTATTGTTTGAACATGAAGGACTCGGTACAATAAGCAATCCTTCAGAGGTTTTAATGAGCCAATACATTGACTTCTAGACTGCCCTGATTCTTCCACAACTTTCTCTGGAATGACAGGTCCCGTGCCAGCAGAGACTCACAGATAGCTTCCTATGTGGGTACTAAACATGCTTGAGAAATAGCACTTTACAGGATGTATTTCACTGGCTGAGTATTTAGACACATCCAAAGTAAACAGTCTCTCATGTGAATTTGACCTGATTCATGTATTTGGATTGAAAACATGTTTTGTGCAACCTTCTAATCCTCTGAATTGTAAGAAAACAATTTGCATCCCTCTTAAGTTGCTCTCTGGTCTCAATGAAAAGTGCATTTTTTTATACGTTTAAAACTTTCCATGCTTTTTCTGACAAATGATGGGCACTGTTGCTTTGATGTTGTTGAGATTTCCTCTTGAAATTGTGAAGAAATTTGTTCAATGAAAAAATGTTTTGCTCACTGGCTGTTAAAAACTTAATAACAACACACCAAAGTAGCCAACAAAACATACAACAGAAGAACATCCACAAATATAGAAAGTTTTGGCGCTGAAATATAATGCAGAGGTTTCATCCTGGGATTATTATAAACACACCTGTGCTTTTGATACAAGTTCAATTTAGCATTAAAAAATTAAAAAAGCATCCTTAAGAGTTGAAATTCAAGCACATGTTCAGCCAAACATGGCGATCTGTGGTGATAAACTACTGTTATGTAACAAAGTCTCATGTCATAGTGGACAGAGTTCCATATTAAACATCACTCGACACCCTGTGCACAAACCCTATGAAAGTGGACTGAAAATTGTGTTTTCCAAGTAAATGCCTTGATACTTTCACTGCTCAATATGACTTCTTACTAGGCCTCCTAGGGTTTGTGCACAGGTATGACAGGGTGTCAAGTGGCGTCCATATATGGAACTCTTTCCAGTTTAAGCTTAAACGATCATGACAGTAACAATTGGATGTTTTCAAACTCTTGTTTATGATTACGTCAGCACGGGTTTACCGTGCACTGTGCACGGGATCATCACAATTCACATGATGATGATTCATCATAGTTTACATGCAGGATCGACATGATGGATCAGGCGAGGATCAGGCGACAAAATATCAACAAACAACGACCACACAGTCTATACTCTCTTCATGCTGATAATAAAACTAAAAATCGCTTTTTCATTCCACCACAAAAAAGTGACGGAGCACTTACTGTTCTCCATTGTACAGAACAATCCCGTTACGAACGTTCTTACTGTGAGCAGTATTTAACGCCATCTTGCGAAATTTTACTTAGCGTGAAATTTGATCGATGCAATGCAAAATCCATTCAGATAAAGGTGATTTGTGAAGCAGCGCGCCACCATGAGTTCCAAGGAAAGAATTTTTTGCGGCTTCCTCGTTGGTGCTCATCTATTTGGGACCAGTGAGAATAGATCTGGTTCCCGCTTTTAAGGCTTCAACTTCTGTATGTAAATATGGAAAACCAGGGAAAATATTAACGTTGCTTTTTATGCGCGCCTCACGCGGTACGGCCGTGCGTATGTATGTTATTGTACATTGTGCAGGTACACATTGTACGCGATACGACTTGTGCAAGTGAAACGCAGTTTTCCTTACTGACATTGTTGATGTTGGTGGTGAGTATGAAAATTGTGTATTTTTACGTTTCCTTGTCTTAAAATTTAAACTGCTGTGGCAAAGGCTTGGTGTTGTATTTCCTCTTAGATACTTTAGGACTGATATTAATACGGGTAAGGAAATAAGACCAAGGAAAATAGATTGGTGCTTGCGCCTCCGCGCTCCGCTGAGCCCAAGGATCAAAACTCTGTTGACAACTCGCCCCACGAACTCACTTGCATTTTACTTGTCATATTTGCTTGAATGAGTCGCCCCTATGTAAAGTAATCCTCCAAGCTTGTGGTTCATGCACAAGCAAAGATATATGGGCAAGAATAGACATTGTAAACAAAGTAAAGCCACATGTAACTGAGAAATGCATGATTTTGTAAGACTAACGTTAGAGTCAGTAATTGACACTGCAGTTTTTGTATTCAGTCCACTTCCAGATATTTCTAGATAGGCCTACCTCACCACCATAGACCCGTAAAAAGAGCCCAATGAATACTCCTTCGTCGTACACTGGGCCCTGTCTTGATTAATAGGGATCTGTTTCGAAAACTTTATCCGGGACATCCGTGGGCATAACTAAATATCCGCTTAATTTTATGAGCACCAGTATGTTCACTTCTTACGCTGTAAAAAATCTACTAGATTGCTAATTGTAGAAAACTCGTCTTTTCCTCGTTAAGAGGAAAGCATGTTGCCTTTAACAGAACAGTGTGAGTGAAATCATTCAAATAATGCGTCATTAGAAAGTGGAGAGACTTAGAAACATTTGTGTATGCAAACAAATTTGCACATATGAGTATGAGAGGGAACGCCGAAGATTTTACCACCACCATTGGAATCTTTGATTCCCACTGAATCCTGAAGTGGGTGCATTAGACAGTTTCAGGACTGTTTGGAGAATTCTGAGGATTTTGATTCGGGGTACAACCTATTTTGAATGAAATGAATTAGTGGAAGAGAAAGGCTATGGATGATACTCTGACTCCACTATTGCCCAACCATGTCCATATGTTAAAAAAGGCGATTTGAAAGAGTCCAAGTTACTCAGACAAGTTGCACCTTTAGTTCTAGATATTTACAACTATTTTCATGGTCATTTTGCCCTTTTACCATGTGTTAAAAATCTGTTATGACATCATGCTGGCCGTGAGAATGCTGTTAAACATAGGTTTGGCTTACACTGTGCACACAATACGCTAATTAATAATCTGAGTATTAACCCTCCTATGGGTCATTCCTCCAAAGTCACTCTTTGGGTCACTTGGTAAACACCTCCAAGAAGCACAGCTGGGTCATGTTGTGCACTGCACCAACAGATGCTCACAGGAATATTAGATTGCACTTTTGTGTTGCCCAACAACTGTGCGTCACTGTTTCATGTGCATCATTGTG